AGGTGAATTTTGCTCCCATATAAATAAAACGCGGCGCAGAACATAGGTACTTTTCGCGACAATTCGTTGGGTCATTCTATCGATTTACTGATTTGTTTACATACATGTGAGAAAATAAAAACCCTGTCGCACCATTTCATAGTTTGCTCTACAGTGAGCAGTACGACTCATTCTTTATCTTGCCAAAAGGGACTTGGTGAAGGAAATCTCAGGTAGATTCTTGCTCCGATTTGAGAGATGTACAGCCTGTTTTGGAGGAAAGCGGTTTTCTTAGGTTAGGCGGGGACGTATACGATGTGTTCTCAACTAAAACTGAGTTATTCACTCAAATTAAGATTTTATTCAGCTGCTTAGCTCATGTGGGTCGATCGTCTCTGTATGGTTCTGGACTACAGGATCAAATCCGCACAGAGCCGGTCGGCTACGAGTACCGACGGTATAATCACCAAAGGTTGCCAGTAATAGTCATTATGAATATTGCCGTTCTTACCAGCCTATGTGCGAGATTTTTGACACTGCATGGTGAGTCGATCATCCTGTGTGTTTCATTTTTCCTACGCGGGCATTCCTATTATTTTGTTTTCCTTCTTTAGCGTATCCTGATGTAAAAGGGAAATGGTTACCGACCAATGTTATGATTGACGGGAAAATGAGAGTTAAAGGCTGATCATTTCATTATGCATAAGCAACTATAGTGTGGAACCCCGACCAGCTTCCCATACCTCCGCGCCGCGCACGCAGCGCGCGCTCTGTTGACGCGTCTCATCCCACTTATAAACAAAAAAGCATTTTTACGTGAACATAGGAATGGAATAAGAAGTGGAATCCTAGAATCTCAGCTAGAGAAGAGTCTAAGCGGAAAAGAACGCTTCCACAACTCTCCTAACGCTTAGTTCCCAGTCACCCTCATGGATACTAGTATGATACACCAGTGATGTGTGAAAACTATAGAATCGACAAAGAGAGCATCATTTTTTAAATGTTTTTTCTGTAATCATATAAAATTTGAGAAGTGCAAGCTCGAGAGCGTAATTGTACAAGCAGAAGCTTCAATGCCGCATTGAAAAGAAACTAAAAGCATCTGCACAAAACGAACTTAATCGGATAGATACGCTAAGTCTTCTTTAACGTTTAAAGAGAAATCCCCTAGAATATAATCGATCTTCACTACCGAGGGCTCTCAAGACTTTTGAGGCTCGTGAAAACTTAACACCATCAGCTGTTGTGGATCCTTTGAATTTAAATCAAAGAGATTAGAGAAGGAGTAAAGAGAAAAACGCATAAAAGCCACTAGAGGCTGGGACGAGAAGCGCACTGAAGGCATGCGCTGCGTGCGCGGCGCAGAGGCACACATGGGAAGCTGGCCGGGGTCCACACTATACAACTAGACCGGTGATTACAGGTTAAAATCAGTGATAATGGGCCCTTGAACAAGCTCTGCATCCACTACGATCGCTTTGAAATAAAGCTCTGTCACTAATCTTTCTATGTGGGAATAAACTCATGATAGATTATGGTCTTGCATGTCACACACATCTGCAATGATGGTGAATGATATTATCCCGGGCAAAGCCGGGTACATCAGTTAGTAAAGGATATGGCCAATGTCTTGCTCTCGCAGTGCATTAGCACTTTCTAATGTCGAGTTCACTCGAACAGAGAGCTTGGCTCTTCGAAGAATTTTGAGATTACTCTTGTAATAGAAGAAAAAGTTCAAGTTTTCTACTTTATGCGGACACCTTTGTGCTTTTTAGAATTTCATTGCCGCGCCATTTCCAAACGTTTCATAAAACTATTGGTGCTTTCTCAACTTTATGGCTTGGTCCTTAACTTTTCGTATTGATGTTTTCGAGCTTTGGTCTCTTTTCCATAGTTAGCAATGCTTCGGGACGCCAATTTCGCAAATACGTTTGTGAAATTACCAATTTCTTGACGCTGCTTGCATAAATAGTTGTTGATGAGCATTCTTCACCGGTACACTTTCGTTTCTTCAAAGGTTTTTTTGTGTTCCATTCGATTTTGCAGAATAAGTCTCCCATAGTTCAAAAATCTTGTTGTTAGTGATGCTCTCCCATAGATCAGAAAAAGGCAAAGGGTTGTTTCATACTGCCGCACTGACTCCAGCAGACTGCAGCTGACTGCACTGATCGCAGCAGACTACAGCAGACTGCAGCAGACTGCAGCAGACTGCAGCTGACCGCACTGATCGCAACGGCCGCACATATCTCTGTATCCTTTCGTAAAGGAGAAAATAGTTGCGAGTACATCAAAACACCGTGATTTATGCCTAGAAAGTTCATAGGTTCTAACTTACTCTTCTCAAACAAATTTTGGCGATTGTTTTTCTTTAATATGCTCATATTTGTTCAGACTCCTTTTGTCATTGCATCTACCTATTTCACTCCAGCTCGTGTTGTCTACTGGGGCATATATTGTTAAGAGACTGTTTGAGCTACAACCAGGGTTGAGCAAGAGGTCAGGCACTAGTCCTTCAAAAACGACCCCCCCCCCCCTGTGAAAGCCCCTAAAATGACCCCTCCACTTCAACTCCAGGACCTTAGACTGTGTTATGTTGAAGAAGACCAGCCTTTACTGGAGGGTTCTTGTTTTTTGGCAGCAGGCCCAACTTTCTGCGATTGCACAACCACACGCAACTTGAAGGCAAGTTTTGAACTTGGATAGCCCTCTTTTCAGAGTTATAGTTTTTGCAGGGGTGGAGTGTTTGGCTCCAAATTTTCAATATAGCAAGAAGGGGCTTTGCTCTCAATACTCATACTAAAAAAGGAGCGATTTTTGAATATTGAAGGTAAGTTAAGGGGGTCAGGCGCAACCCCTCAAAAGCTCAGGCGGCCTGACCTTTTGAGGGGTTGCGCCTGACCCTATTAACTTTATTTTCGAGAAAGCTTTTCTATCCAAGTTTTATGTGATTCGCTAGCACAACTCTCGTAGATTCCACAATAAGTGTTTGAGCTTGTTTCAACTTGTTTCGGCCTTGTAGTAATCCGTAGAGTTAAAGCACTTAATGTGAAGAACGCGCCGGTTGGAGATTTGGCAGCACTTCTTACTTCACTATTTGAAAGTGATATGAAGCCTGATTTCTAGCATAGACTTGTAGGGAACGATACTTTGTTACGAGTATAAAAAAGCTGACTATTTTCACTTTTGAAGCCAAGTTCATGTTTGAAAATCACGCTTTCTAGACGTTGCGAAACACTAGGAAATGCGGTAGGTAATGACTTTAGAGCTCATAGAGGTAATCTGACATGCTGATTACGGAAATAATACCCATTTCACACAGCAAGCTTACTTGGCGACCTCATGATGTGTGAAGGTAAAAGATGAAGACTTGAATTTGGCTGAAATTTCGATTGTGTAAACAATCGGTATGCTGTTCACGACCGTCATTCCTTCAGTACTGGTGATTGTGATATCCACCGGACTAGCGCTTTCTTCACCTTCGTAATATCTCCCCAACTAAACGGATTTGGTTTTTTAATTACGACCCCCCCCCCCTCAGTCATACCCCAAGACGACCCCCCAGATCGGGCGCGCCTGACCTCACGCTCAGCCCTGGCTACAACTATTTATCCTCCCCACCTTCACAAAGGGATGTCGCGATCTGTGCGGCCCCGCGGTCAATGCGGTCAGCTGCATTCTGCTGCAGTCTGCTGCAGTGCTGCGGTCAGTGCGGCAGTCTGAAACAACCCAAAGCAAAGCAAGCTCTACAAGAGGGAGTTAGGGCATCCGCGCAATGATTCATGCTAAGATTGAAGTGAAGTCCGAAAAATTTCAAAGACTCGACAATAGAAATTCAGTCTATAGATTTCCCTGCCCCTCCATTCTCCCCACTGTATATTCTCCTAATCGATTTACAAACAATCGCTGCATTCTTTCCTTCAACTAGAACACAAAAGAATAAATATGGTAGAAATGCGAAAATGTCTCCGCTTCGGTTTTTACGACACATATATTTCATAAAAATAGCGCTCGAAAAGATTTGAGAATTCCTCGTTATGCTTGCAAAGAAAGAATTACCCTATTTTCCGGAGTATAAGGCGCAATTTTGTGCACCGCGCGCGGGCAGTTTTGCGACGACGCAGGCGATGTGCGACGCCGCAGGGGCAGCGGTACTAACTTTCCGTAATAATTCTGTGCATTCGTCTCGTTAAATCTCATAATCATGAGTTGTTTAAAAAATCAGTCTGCTATATCTTTGATTCATCCATATTTCGCAAAACAAAGATTTTACACTTAAACACCCGTGCCGTTATCATTTGAGACTCCTACAAAAGTTGTCGCTGAGTTCATTTATGTCTAAATTCAGTCAAATTTTCCGTAAAATTCGAGAATTGGAGGCACGGACTTCTTGGCTCTGAAGCGCCCATTTAGCAATCTCCAATTGAATATAGATAAGAAGACCGTCAATACAACTCGACCCAAGCCAAAACCTAGGGCGCAACTTTCGCGTTAATCACGCGGCAGGTGCATCTTATACATGGGTGAGCCTTATACTCCGGAAATTAGGGTACTTATTTGGGTGTAGGTCAACATTGCTTTCTAGAGCATTTTGGTTCTCATCTTTTAAGTTTTAGCCACGAGAAAAAATACTATATGTTTTCTTTAGTCTCCCATAAGGAGAGTGTAGGTATAGAAAAGTTAACGGTGGTAAAATTCCTTCATCAAAAGTTTCAATACTACATTTTTCAGCTTGATTAACGTAGAAACCATCGTGCGAATGTTTTAAAGAAATTTTAGAAGCTCTGCTTTATTTAATGGTATGTTTCTAAAATTTTCTAGTCTTCCTCGGTAGCATAAGGAGCATGCAGTAACAAAATGCGGCATCATGCAATTACAATAAGCAAGTTTGGTAAGTGAGATAGTCCCAAGTCCTTGAAACACTAACATGTTAGTGTTAACCCAAAGAGTTAACTTGTTAATGACTAGTTACCAGATTTACATAGAGTGATTGTCGATTTGCTTATAACATTACTTATTAAATGACAAATAAGCGCATCAATGCAGAATGCAAGTACTGGTCTTCTTGTGGCTTCTCCCATCATGCTACTGCTCGGAATGGAACGTGCAAGGAGGACTCTTCGGATCGGTCCAGTCAAGTGGGGTGAAAGCGAAACTTTTCTGTAATGATAAACCGTTTACTAAAGCGGAATGTTCTATGTACGATGAGGATATCAGTGAGTCGTAACTGTAAAGTTGGAGCTCGATTCAAACTTTGACTTTAGCTGTTGATGCTTGGCTGGATGGACCTCACAAACCGGATTCACTGGGAACATGTGTCGTTGAAGGCACCAAAAAAGAGATAAGCCAAATAGACCCATACATCTTTATCAGGCATTGGTGCAATCGAACGGTGCGTTCGTTTTCTCTTTGCCTATGAATGATTAGATTTCCAAACGAACTCGAAGCACCATGCTTATAAGACAACACGAATGCTGTTTAGAAGACGTCTCCTATTGATATCTGCATAGACGTTCCATCAGAATATATATACAGTGGATACAATGCAAAGCAATTCTATTATTTCGAATTGGAGCTTACCACGGCGAGGGGAAGCAAAAAGTGTCGATGGCTAAGATAAGACATGTGTTTATGTTTGTCATATCCCATAAACAAGTTTCAGAGATGCATTTGCCACAGAGAATATGCGCCTTCTTCTCTATTTTCCCTCTTATCATTCCTCTAAGCTACAGCTTACATTATTTTGAAGTCCTTCATGAATGATATCCACGAAAGTCCCCGCGAAATGGGCTTTTCGTGCGAATAAAATGGACTTAGTCCATGCGGTGCGATAAGATATCGCATTCGCGAATCCATTCATTCCATACAAAATTTTCTCAGCAACCCTTTCTTCAACTTGTCTCAACCTGTTTGCTCACTCTTGCAGACTCATTTCCATCAAGTGGTTGATTTCTGACTAGGCTGACCTAATATTACAATGTCAGTCACGTGGATTTTTTAATCTTTCCCATTTCGTTACACCCCACAAAAAACATTTGTTGTCGATGACTATGCTCTAAATTACCTCCAAGAATGAAATTCATATAATATCCGGGCCTTCGCTTCTCGAGACTTCTACGGATCTGCATTGAATCAAATTCGTATGCAGAGCTTTCTGCGGAACGCAAACTTTGGCTAGACTTTCACTGCAACCTGTGAACCAAAATCTTTATTTTACAGAAAACCTTGTTCTACACCACAACTCAAAGGGTTCTTTTAAGTCGGAAGCACTACGAATCCGCAAAAGATGGCTTCGCAAATTTTCTACTTTAACTCTTCTTTGTGTCTCAGCACTAATGTATATATCTCTGAGTAGTTGAATGTATGGACTACTGCTAGTAGGAAATTTTTCACAGAAATTTTCTTGCTAGCTAGCGCCATTTCAGTAATTCTTGCGACCAAACTCAAAATCGCTTTTGAAATGCCGTCTTTGGGGTTCGCTGTGAGATTAGTCAAAAGATAGTTTCTGAATAATTATATTGAAACGTAAATCTTTTTTGTTTCTAATACAGATCATGAATTTAGTTTTGATTGATGATTTGAAGTATTAACAAACTTTATTTGATTTACATAGGAATTTTCGCATCGATCTGATATTTGGAAGCATTTGAGTTTGTCAGCGTTTATTTTGGAGAATTTAACCTCTATATTTTCATAGCGTTTATATAAGTTTAGAAAGAAACACTTATTTTAACCTTCATACAAGACATAAAACTTTTCCACTCTCTTATCACCTCAAAATGGGCTGAGGAACACATTCTCAAAAAATCGCCATCAAAAATACGCAAAAAGGTCAAAAATGGACTTAGTCCCAGCTCACCTTGCTGCTGGGAGTAAAATGGGCTTTCAAGTCCATTCAACATGGAGGTAAATCCCATTTTGCCCCATTCTAAATGGACTTATGACATCATCTTTCGCAAGCGAGAGCTCAGATAGGGTTGAATCATTTTCATTTCACCGCTTTGTCTCGTGGTTGCGATGGGATGAAAATTTTTGGATAACGCGAGCGAAAGCAGATTCCGACCACTCTTCACCGCGAACGAGTAAAATGGGGTTTGGAAGTCCATTTTCCTCCATTATGGACTTTCGTGGATATCATTCCATGATCTTCTTTTTTTTGAAGGATTTTTACTTACACTTCCATTGAGTGGACGGGGCTAGTAGAGCTAAGTTTGGAGCGCATTTTTCAGGCCTTAGCCCATGAACTGGCAGGTAGGCTATGGGCTACACTGCACTTGGGGGTCTACTATTTACCACGACCAAAATCCGAGAAGGATCTATCTTGCCGATGCACTGCTTTCAGGTTGATTTATGCCTTGATTCTGAGGCGTCCTGCCAATCAAATTTTGTAACAATAAGGACCCTATCAAAAGGCACATAGTAGGATATCTATTAGCCATAGCCTAACTGCTGCTATTGTTCGGAGCGGCACATCGCTCCGGAAGCTTCAATTCGACCCTTGTAGCAGGCTAAGTTTGTAGGTTCCGGTGCAGGTTCAGTACATTCTCACACACGATTACTCTAATCCTCCGAAATCAGTAAAGCTTCGAATGTTGATAACATGTTCAAAAGTCGTTGCTTCTTATTTATGAGTGCATTTGAAGATGTAGACAGAGCCCTTGCAGGCAATTAAGATGAGACCAACTCCGCATTAGTAAAATATTTATTTTCGTAGAAGCCAGTGTTCATTTTCGTAGTAGCTTAAATAGACTTGTTGATATGGATTCCACAATTAATAGAATGGGCAGAAATAAATATTGAGCGTCACTAGCTGGGTAGAAAATCAATACTGACACGCTAAGCGCCATACGGATATCGTGGATTTGGGACATGAACAACGAGTTCGAATATGGGAAACAGTTATTCTTGCTCTGGCCGCTGAACGTTAATGGCACGGCTCGACTTGAGGTGGACCTAATAATTCCTAGCGTACGAAGACCTTAACTACACAGAACTTTACGACATGCACCCTGTGAGGTGCTCGCAGAACAAAGAAGCAAACAAATAGTACAGAATACATTTCAAAACTCAAAAAAAAACCGCGGTTTGTTCGGGTTTGTTTTGGCGGCATAATGTATCAGCCGCGCACCACTGCACGCCTAGAGCAGCATCACAAAAACCATTTTAGAAGCTTTGGAGAGCTAGGAGAAGGCTTGCGGCGATTCAAGACCGCATACACAGATAATCGCCGGGGGCAGGCGGCCATGCGATTTATGGGCAGGCGGGCACCGGAAATATAGTTCGCTAATTTCTTGAGCTTCGCTTCAGAAGTTCGGAACAATTTCGGCCAATTTTTAGACGAACGCTCGGAGAACTATCGCGCTTTTTCTGTACATAAGTTGCGGCGCAGTGGCCATTCTCGCGGACTTTCCGCGAGAATATGCGAGCCGCACGGTCCTTTGCGAAGGACCGCACTGCCCGTACCTTCCGCTGAAAGAAGGTACGCCAAACTTGGGTAATAAAACTATCGATGTCACCTCTGCCAGGTAGAGTCTCACCTTTTCTCGGCGTACGGTAGAAACTGCGTAAAACGAGTCCAAGCGCTTGCTGAAAGTTTGGCCAGCGCTCGCTGAAAGAAATTATTTGCTGAGCGCTTTCAAAAAATGCTGTATTGTTGCCCGCTGGCAAATATGAACAGTAAAGGAAATATCGCCCGTTGAAGGTTTGGCCACGCCCCAAAATTCTGCTGACTGCCTGCAGAAAAGCGCGAGTTTGCGGACCACCTGCCCCCGGCGATTGTTTGAGTAGATAGGGGGATGTAGATTCAGATAATCGCCGGGGGCAGGCGGCCACACGATTTATGGGCGGGCCACCAGAAAAATAGTTCGCTGATTTCTTGCGGTCCGCTTGCAGATATTTGGAAGAATTCTAGCGAAATTTTAGACGAATGCTTGGAAAACAACCGCGGTTTCCTCATAGATAAGCTGCGGCGCAGTGGCCGCTTCTCGCGGACCGCGGACTTTCTGCGAGAATATGCAGAATTTTCGGGGCCACACAGTCCTTTGTGGAGGACCGCGCAGCCCCCAGGTAGTTTCCGCTCAGAGAAAGTAGCTCACACTTGAGCAATTAAACCAACGGTGACACCTCCGCCACACAGAACCTTACCTGTGCTCGGCGAATGCCCGAAACTGCTTAAAACGAGTCCGAGCGCCCACTGAAGGTTTAGCCAGCGCTCGCTGAAAGAGATTATTTGCCGAGCGCTTGCAGAAAATGCTGTGTTGCTCCCCGCTGGCAGAGTATGCGACCGTAAAGGAAGTGCCGCCAGCTGAAGGTTTGGCCACTCCTCAACTGTTGACCGCTTGCAGAAAAGCGCAAGTTTGCGGACCGCCTGCCCCCTGCGATTATCTGAGGAGTAGGTAGAGTTATGTTAGAAGTTTGAAAAAGAGGGGGAAATTTATGATTTTTTCTTTTTATGGCCACCTCATCTGGCCGTTCAGCTGGCCGTCAAGCCAGCTAACTTCGAACAGTAGTTACCACGGACTCAATTCACTTAAGTTTTTCGTAATTTTTTATACATGGTTCCAATTCACACTTACACACTGAGGCCCGCAGTAAACCCCTATTCAGCCCAACTCGGCGGGGGCGGGCCTACGTTGAACGTAGAACGAATCAGCCCGGCATCCGGTGAGCCATTGATTTGGTTGCTGATCGCTTTCTAGACATGGGAGATCTTGTGGACTCCCAAAAACTCAACACCTTGAGCAGGTTTGGTCGAGCGGCTGAGTGAATAGGTTTCAACGCGCAAGACCATGGTTCGGAGCCGGCTAGTAGCAGACTTTTGCGCCACCACGGACAATCTTTGATAGCGGCCGCTGTAAATTTGTTTTATGCATTTATTTGCTTGGCGATAGCCTTGATAGCGGTCGCCATCGATTCTTCTCGATAGCGAAGTGATCAATGCAAACTTGCATATCATTGGATGCAGCATGAAACGCTGATTTCATTTTCGTCTCAAATATTTGCTAAACGACATTGCAGACGAAGTTACGAGTTTTATTGCGAGAAAATCGTTCACAGAAATTGTGAAATAGAGCACGTTATTACCCTTTTAGCTCACCTTTAGTTATGGACTATATAGTGATCTTGCTGCATGTTTTGGTTTAGCATCTAGCCGAACAAGGCTCTGTATCGTCAATTGCACTTTGCGACCATGATTTCCTGGCAAAGTAAAGGCGTTCAATCGATTATAGCTTCATCCACAATTTAGCAGATCAAAAAAGATACATTCAGAGTCGCGTTCAATGCTTCATCTAATGGTACAGAGCCTATGTGGATTGCCCACTTCGACCTCTGACCATACCCCTTTTGAGATAGCAGCTTATTGCCTATTTTTATTTAAGAATTTTTAGTTTGGTATCCATATATAGAAGCCATCTTATTTATGCTAAACTATGCTGTTGTTAAAGTTGCCATGCATACCGCGCAACACAAAATCGCCCTTAAATTGGTACCTTTCCGCAACTTGACTACATCGCCTTTTCCGTCGCACTATGAAAATCATCAATTTCATTTTATAGGGTCTGAAAAGCTATAAAAATGTGCAGAGAACTTGTTACTTGTAAATGATTGAAATAATTTCTAAAAAATTTTAAAAATTCAAATCAGCCTTGTAAAAATTTTTTTC